TATGAAGAACATGAACCCTGTAGTGTTCTTTCTATCATTCATGTTTTCAGCCCAATCACTGTCGTTATATCCTACAATCTTGAAATTGTTGGATTATGAGTAAAGTAAGCCAAAATCATTTGTACCTTTGATATAGTGCATAGTTCTTTTAGCAGTCTTCAGGTGGGTAGCAGTCAGAGTCTCCATGTAACGACTGACAAATCCAACAGCATAAAGAATATCAGGCCTTGTGCATGTCAAGTAACGTAAACTTTCAACCAAACTCTTGAAAATCGTTGGATCAATTCTTTTCTCTGATCATAGTTGGACAAAGAATATCAAGTCATCGACATACAAACAAACAATCAAGAGATTTTCATCTTCATTATGGATGTAAAGAGCATGTTCATAAGGACACTTCATGAAGCTTTTTTCTTGCAGATACTTGTCTATTCGGCTATTTCATGTTCTTGGTGCTTGCTTCAGCCCGTATAGAAAATTTTTAGCTTTAGAATCATATTTTCTTGCCCTTTGACTTTATATCCTGGTGGCTACTGAATGTAGACTTTTTCTTCAAGTATTTTATTCAAGAATACAGATTTTACATCCATTTGATGTATTCTCCACTTATTTTGAGTTCTCAAAAAGATAATTACTCTAATAGTTTATAATCGAGCAACAGGGGCAAATATCTCATCATAGTCTATGTCTGTTCTTTGACTGTAGCCTTTTGTCACCAATCTTGTCTTGTATATTTTAATTTTTTCTTAAATTTTTTTTTTTTGCTTTATACACCCAATTCACATCATTTTCTTATGCCCTTTAGAAAGTGAAGCTAGCTCCCATGTGTCGTTCTTCTCGATTGCCTTGATTTCTTCATCTATTCCATCTTTCCATTTCTTGCTTTGTATGACTTCTTAGAAATTCATGGGTTCACAACCAGCAAAGAGACAAAAAAGAGTAAGATTATTTTGATTCATAGTTACCTCATAAAGATCTTCTAATTTTCTAAAACGCGGTACTCTTTCACTTAAATTTTCTCTTAAAGTTGATGACGATGAGTCACTTTGAGTACTTGTAGTCAATGTTGTTTGTGAAGTAGTAGGTTTTTCTCTTGCTTACTCGATCATTGGTTGTTCTGTCTTCTTCTTGAAAGTATGGGAAAAAACTGTAATCCTCATCATGTAGTCCCCAGTCTCATTTTTCTTTTTCATCGAATATGACATCTCTGCTGATTATTGTCTTCCCTGTATTTGGATTGTATAACTTGTAGTCTTTCGAGTTGTTGTCGTAACCAATAAAAATGAACTTCTCGCTCTTGTCATCCAGCTTTTTTTCTCGTCGGGTTTGTATACATGAGTTATGCATCCAAAAACTCGTAGATGAGAGATGTAGGATTTCCTTCCACTCCATGCTTCTTGTGATATTTTTCCCAACACATTTCTTGTTGTGATCGGTTAGCCAAATAAACAGCACATACAACCGTTTCTGCCTAAAACTCCTTCAGCATTCTCTTGTTTTTTAGCATGCTCTTTACCATGCTAAGGATGATTCTATTCTTCTTTTCCGCTATTCCATTTTATTGGGGGGGATCTTAGAACAGTTAAAAGTCGACGTATTCCGTTGGCTTCACAGAATTCTTGAAATTCTTTTGAAGTGAATTCTCCTCCTCGATCAGATTGCATAGCTCCGATCTTGAGACCACTCTCTTTCTCTACATCTGCCTTAAACTTCTTGAATATTCCAAAAACCTCTAATTTTTGTTTTAAGAAATATACACATATTTTTCGTGAAAAATCATCTATGAAAAGAAGAAAATAGTTGCTCTTACCGAGTGAACTTAGTTTTATTGGACCGCAGACATCTGTATGTATGAGCTCAAGAGACTTTTGGGCTCTTGAACTTAACTCCCTTGAAAAGCTTTTCCTGAAGTGCTTTCCGAGTAAACATCTTTCACATAATTGATCAGGGTGGTTAATGCAAGGTAATCCTCTCACCTTCTCTTTCTTTGAAAGTAATTCAAGCCCTCCGAAGTTGAGACGCCCAAATCGAAGATGTCAGAGCCAAGAAGCAACTTTATAACAGGTCTTAAGACATTTGGCAATATCATTTTGAATGTTGAGCAAGAACATTCTATTTTTAGACATTAACACCTTAACAATCAAGTTACTGATATTGTCTTTTAAAAAAAGAGTATTTTCTTTCAAATGAATATCATATCCTTTCTCCACATATCCTTTCTCCAAAAATCCAAAAATTGCCCTAAACTCAAGATGTTGCTCTTCATATTTGACACAAAGTAAACATTAGAAATAAATTAATGCTTCCCATTTTTCTGACGGATGAGAACGTTACATTTGCATTTAATCTCTATCTTGGACTCATCTGCAAAAGACACATTGTCGCTTACTGATTTGTCAAGCTTTACGAACATACTTCATCTCCCGCACATATGGTTGCTTGCGCCGGTGTCCAGGTACCATGTACTATCTTTACCTCTTTCATTGTCCTTGTATGCTAAAAGTAGAGTGTCATCTTCTTCTCGTTTTTCTTCTATGCAGTTGACTCTTTCATTAACTTTGTACTTAGGTGCTCTACATTCTTTCGCATAACGCCCGAACTTGTTACAATTATAGCACTTAATTTGAGATTTATCATACATCGAGTTTGAGCGCCCTCGACCACGTCCTCTTGAAGATTTTTCTCCTTTCTCATAGTTATTGTTGGTACCCCATCCTTGCTTGTTAGCATGACCTCGTTCTTGTCCACTACATCTTCCATATTGGCTTCTAATATTGTTGAAGCTTTCATCTTTCTGAGTTGCTTGGAGATCCGTCTTGAGAAGTTGTTCGGCAATCTTTTCATTCATCTTCTTTTCTTCATGAGCTTGCAATGAACCCAGAAGTTGCTCTATCGTCATGGCTTGTAAGTCATTGGTCTCTTCGATAATGGTTGTGATACTTTTAAATTTTGTATCTAACGATCGAATAATCTTTTCCATGATAGTCACATCTTCTAACTTCTCTTCATTTCTTTTTAGTTGATTGGAAATGATAATGACTCTAGAAAAGTAATCGGAGACCAACTCGCCTTCTTTTATATGCAAAACATTAAATTGACTTCTTAAAGTTTGAAGTCGTACCTTTTGAACCTTTTCTTCTCCCTTATACAAGACCTTGAGCTTCTTCCATGCTAGCTTGGCCAAAGTAGCACTTGAGATCTTCTCAAAACCATATTCATCTAAAGCTTGATAAATGAGAAAGAGAGCCTTCTTGTCTCTCTTTCGCAAGTCTCTTAAGCTATCTTTTTGTGTTATGGATAGAGCGGACTCGTCGTTTGGCTCATCGTAGCCTTTCTCCACAACCTCCCAAACATCATGCGCTCCAAGGAGTGTCTTCATCTTGATACTCCAATTGTCGTAGATGATTTCCTTAAGCATCGGGACTTGGAAGGAAACCATGTCACTGTTTGTCATTGCTCTATAAAGGAACTTTTAGGCTCTAATACCACTTTGTTGGAATAAAGAAGCTTTTAGGATATGACAATGACTAACAATTTATGGAATAAGCTTCAGTTTTATTTATCATCTTTACTTTGTTTAATACAAACTCAAAAACTTCACTCCTATTTATACTAGTGGCACCTCCTAAATTAATGGCTAGGATTATGCCACTACAATTCCAATATAATGGTTACAAATAATTTCATACCTACCACACAATAATTTCATGTCTACCACATATTCTAGAATAAGTTTCTAGATGAGACATGCTTCTAGAAATTAAGCTTTAATTAAACAACTAAAATCAAGTTTATATTTCAACACCAAACACTGAATAAACATTTGTTTGTGTCCGGTTTGTTTATAAATCAAGCTCAAAAAATTTGTACATGTTCCGCTCATTTGTTTAACGAACAAATCGAATATGAGCTACTTAATGAACCGAACACAAATAGTTCACGAACAACAAACTATTTTTACAGCCCTAAATGTCACTAATAGAAAACAGTAGATAGTGTATTTTAGGTTGTTCATCATTTGCTGTTGAAATCAAATATTTTGTGGAAGCAGTGATAGTTAACAACAATGACGTAGGAAGTCAAGAGCTAGAAGTTGGTCAGTGCAGTCTCCTAATAATCAAAGAAAAGATGGAACAATCAAAGAAGCGTGAGGAAATGTTTAAATGTGTCAAATGCCATAGGTGATCTATTGGGATTCCAAATGGCGACCACAGGCTCATAGCTTCAGAATTCTCTACCCAAAAGCTCCACTATAAATATATAAAATATGGCTTATTTATATACTTTTGTTTAGAGCATTGTATACATTTCCAACAGAGACGCTCCATTGAAATGTCTGAATTGCTCTACCTGACAATTTAATATTTTTTTAGACACTTCTATGCATTAATTATCTCATCATTGGGCAAATTTAGGACTCTCAAAATTGGCTCATAAAGACATTTATTTCAATTACAAGAATACAGAATTTGGATGTTTGACCCCCTCTAATGGCCTTGAGAAGTCTTTACTTATATTTTTGAATGTATGATTTGTGCTCATTTAGACTAAAAATAAGTTGTTGTTGGTTTCACTAGTTTTAACTTGCCTAATCACAGCATCTTGATTATATGTTCGCTAAAAATAAAGTTTAGATAATCTGAAAATCAGTTGTTGAAGTCAATAACCCTGAGATCTCAAATTTGCATTAAGAGTCATTCTTGAGCTAATAAATTTTCTTGTGACATATTAGAGTTCATGAATAATGTGATGTCTAAACAATTGATTTATCTAAAAAAAGTACTCTCGTAAAGTGCTGATACCAATCTTCAAATGATAGATTTATTGACAAGATTCACAGGAAAAAATCAAACATACTGTAATTTAAAAGCCCTTAATAAGGGACATGACTGCCAAAAAAGTGATTCATCCATGAAAGAATTTTTTGGGACAATGAACAGAAGGTGGTAAAGTTCCAGGAATATAAACACTATATAAGATAATAGAGTGAAACTGCATACTGGACTGAGAAGGCTAAAGCATGTCTTTTGCCTTGAAATCCTCTCAAGTGGCCATGGACCTTCACATAAACCCCATTCCTTCATCATCGCTCAAACAAAGTTAACAAAACGAAAAATCACAAAAAAAAAAAAGCAAGCATAAAATAACTAATTAAGCGTTAAAAACAAATATAAAAAACACTTACTGAATAAATGCAGAATCGCTCGCATCCGAACTCTCGTTAGCCCTTAAAACATACATCATAGAAGCTTATATCATCCCGAAAACCTAAAAATAATGGATGGAACAGCATCTCCCCAGAAGATTATCTCACCATCTTCTAATATCAATCTGTCCCGTGCCATCATCGACGGTGAACGATACTTCGGTGTCCCTGTCCATCCTGTTCATCACCAGTCCCACAAGCTTGATCTGAAATATCTACGATAGTTTTAGGGTTCTCAAAGCGATGAAAAAAAGATGAGCCGATGATCCATTTAAAAAAGGAGATCACGTTGGCAAGCTCAACCCCGTCGACGATAATGGTGGATTTGTCCTCACTCGAATGATAGGCTTCTATGAGCTGCTTCACCGTTATGGGAATCAAAGTCTGCGGGGCCCGACTCTGCCATCGCAAAACCATGGATCAATAAGAATGGTTCGAGATATGCGGAAAAATGATGGAGAGAACAAGGATGGGAGAATAGATGTGAGACCTTAGTTGGAGAAATGGAGGAATCGAGGGACTGGGAGGGTAAGAAAACGCCACTGGTGAATAGGGAGGCTCCGGCGAACTGGTCGGCAGACAACATGGCTGATTGCTTGGGCTCTGCTACAACAGATCAAATCCGCGAGACCGTAACGCGGAGCGAGAACAAAAGTGAGATGTCCCGCCTCGAATCCAGCTTTTATAGGCGCATGAAAGGATTATTTGCGTTTGCGTCACTGAAATATTCTGTAATTGCTTTTTCAAGCTTAGAACTTGTGCTTAGTAAATTTGCTCAATAGTTAACTGTTTTACAAGAAAGAAAACAGGAAATTTTACATACAAATTTTATATGCATTGCATGTAATTTTATGTATTTATATATCTAATAGTTAAATTTTGATATTTATATTTATCACCCTTTGATGTATTAGCTTATGCATGAAAAAATGTAGTTTATTAGGGTATGCATTATGTTTATTTAGACAATTTAGACTATAAAATTATTAGGTGTGATCCTTCTGATATTATTTTAAAAATTTAAGTGTTATTCATATAAATATGAAAATTTAGGTGTTGGATATGTAAATACATACCAGTTGTGTGGTGTGTATGTAATAAAAGTGATAATATATCTATATAATCTATAATTAATATCGTACTGATTGACCTTTTAATATCTAATATTCTTGTTTATCATTGTTCATTTATACATCTTAGAAAATTCGTTCAATTAAATATAAATTTTGATGAAATATTAAAATTTAAAACTTTTAAAATTAGATTCAAGACCATCCAAAGTTTCTTCAGTAATTTTTTTTGTAAAAATAAATATTTTGAAAGAACTAAGGCAATGAGACCAAAAGTGATTCGATGCATCTCTTAATGCACTTTAATGTTGGTTCAATAGTTTACTATTAAAAGCAACAATCAAAACTACATGTAAGTGACTAAACTGACGTTCTCAAGTATTATAAGTGGACTTATATTCTCTACGTACAGGCGGGTAAACAAAAAAATTAAAAAGGTGAAGGATCTTAAGAACAATAGAGCTCTTCTTCATGAATGACACCATCACCATCATCGCAATGTCTTTGCTTGATCATTCCCCATATATAATCTCTCAATGAATATCAGTTGACTATTGTCTCTTGAGCGTCTTTACATATTCATCATTTTTAGTTTCGCTCGAGTATTTCTCCTGATAATTATCGCTCAATCAATGCCCACCAATCATCCCCTGACAATTATCGTGTGACTGTTATCATCCAACTATCATCTCCTTATTATGTTCTCCTAACCACTCTCGCCCCATTAACATTATCCAACTATCCCTGCTTTCTGTTGTTTTTTTCATAATAACTACTACAATAACGAAAAGTCAAGCAAATACACTCAAATTTGTAATCATGCCTTTTTCAACTCGCATAAACATCTTCTTTAAATATAGAAAAAAAAAAATTTTTTTTGTGATCTCACACGCATAGTCAATTATTTAAACTTCGACATGTCAAATGATTTTTTTTTTCACAAAAATATTTTAATTTTTTTAATATTTTATTCATTTATCTCTATTTATGCAATTTTTTTTGCTTTTTTTGCAAGATCAAAAAAAAGAAAAAAAAAAACTAGAACTTTAATTTTTTACCCATTCACTATGAATTTTCTAGTATGTGCATGATAATAATAAATTTAAAATCCTAAAAATTATAGAATTACTATCATATTTTAAATAATTTAATAAAGCTATAAAAATAATTTTCAACATTTAATTTCATTCTATTGAAAATGAAATGGTTTTTTTTACTAAACTTTGAGTGGCGTTATTTTATTTTTTATTTTTAATTTTTTGAAAAATAGAATAAGATATTCTTCACCCTTTGCAAAATGGGAGAATGTGAAAGATAATTGCAATTTAGTTTAAAGATAGGAAATTGAGAGTAAATATTAAAAGAATCGTTTTAAAATATAAAATATGTAAATTTTCAAATTTATTAGAGAAGACTATATATTAGTTTCTCTCAAGCTTAATAATATGTAAAAAACTCATGTTTTGTCCTTATATACTCGTAGGTTTTTCCACCCACTCTTTCATACAACTTTTGATATTGAGTGCATTAGCCATAAATGAAAAACAGTAGGTGTCAAACCTTATCACATGGGTGTTGAACTTAGTTACTGAATACTTCATTATGTGAGAGTGAAATCTATAATACAGATAGCATGCGCAATTTGTTAATGGCTACCAAAAATATTGATGGCAACGCGTTACGAAAACATGGCAGGCAAGAAGACTCATCGAGTCCTTTTCTAAGAGAAGGTGATGACAACATGACAATGATTTAATTTTGATCGAACATTTTACTATCAAACCCTTTCCATTACCGTAAATAGGGATAGTTTCTCCTTTCTCTTACTTCATGCAATTGGCTTGAAATTTCTTCGACATCAAGGCTTCAAGCTCATCAACCACTATCTCCAAAATGATGAAAATAGTTGGTTTTATTATATTTTTACATTCAAGTTTTTCAATTTTCATTCTAGATGAAGTTTCAAACAAGGCACTAGTGGTGGATGTAAGCGAAGATCAGTTACTAAGATAAGTTGGCACATTCTTTGAAGGGTTGTCAGTCAATACATAGAGGTTATGGCATATTTGGATAACATTATCTTTGCCACGGAGCTTTTAACATGTTAAAATTAGTTACAATATGACAACTTCTTCTAAATGACACCCTAACATCTTTGCAATATTATATTAGTGTTGGCAAAGTAATGGAGGAGTCCAAAGAGCATGTGAACTGCGAGTCAAAGAAAAACAGTTGTGCACAGCAAGCGAGTCAATGATTAGAGATGTTGATGGGCTACTCTGAGCTTAATTATCATTTAAAAATTAATCAACTTGATGAATATATCATAAATGTGTGTGATAAATATTGGTCTATCAATATGGAAACTTCATATGGCTATGAGGGGGAGAAGATCATGTTCGAGGGAGAGAGAGAACATGGTGAGCGTTGATCGTTTGACCTTTAACATAACAAATTTTATGGCTCAAGAGAAGAAGATATGACGAAAAGTTGGCTTTAGATTTCTAATGATAAAACTTATAAGCTTCAAGAATGTTTAATGTCATTGGAGAGACTAGAAAAAGAAATCTAAAGCTGTGGCATATATGGCTCTTTGCAATTTCTTTTTTTTTTTCTTTCTTATAAATGTTTATAGCTGCGACTTCATTACATTTTAACTCTTTTCTTCAAGCGTAATAAATAACTTCTATTTTTCCAAAGAATACTAACATTACGTCCTTTTTTCTTTAAACAACAACAGCAAAGAGAAGCCATTCTAAGAAAAAGAGTCAAAATAATAGAAAGATTGATATAAATTAAAAGAATTAAAAAGACAATTGTGGGTATGCAATAACCATAACATACTAATTTTACCTATGTACAGGCAATTGCCTCGCAAAGGCTATAAGGTAAACTATAAGAGAGAGAAAAAAATGAAATGAAGAAGTACAAGAAAATAGAAGATCCCATCAGAAGATAGCTCCTGCGGTCCAGCGGCGAATTGTGGACATAGACCGTCTTAGCGAGATATGCGCCCCCGATAGCTACAATAAAAAAAATAATAGAATGAAAGATCATATATTGTTTAAATTAAAAAAGAAGGATCATATTTTACGGGGAAAGAAGTTATTTGATATGAAAATATGAAACAAGTAATCCGGAAAGGAGTGCAGTTCTTATGACTCAAAAATTTTTAAACTATGAACATATTAAACAGATCATAAACAAACCTGTAACTTAGTCGTTCAATTGATTATCTCGAATTCTTCTTGCCGGAATCGATGTACTGAAGCATCAACAAATGATGGAGAACCCTCATTCGAGCCATTAGAGCTCGACCCGACACGACTACGTGTCAAATTACGCCTACTAGATCTCTGTCTATTTCCCGTACAGCTCAACTTACCAAATACCTGATAAAGAATGCAAGAAGTCCACCATTTAGCCCCACGACCGCCAAAATCCTCGTAACCATCTCCATCCTCATCATCACCATACTCAATCACATAATCCCCCAGCACAACTCCATGTGGAACTTCAGCATGTATGGTGCTCAGGACATCTATAATATCTGAAGATTGCTGAAAATTTTCCCAATCTTGTTGGTGAGCGGGATCTATCGCTGATGGACGAGAATGAGGGTGTTTCAAAAGAGCATGGCGCTGAAGCTCAATGAAATTGCCCATATAATGGCATTGCTTCTCTTGGCAACACCGCTTCTTCATGTTCAAGTAAGCACGTGCTTCTTTGATAACGACCCAACCGGTCACCTCTCCTCGACATAAGGGGCAGGCAGGACGGTTCTCAAAAGTTGACGGAAACATTCGAGTCAGCATGGTAGATGACTCGGTCGCAACCAAGCATTCCGCTGCCTGAGATACTCCTGATGCGCTTTTAAACCGGTTGAGACAGTTGGAGTGTGTGTGGTCTGTATCACACATAAAAGGACGGCAGCCATTGTCATAGGAGCTGCATTGAAGAAGAACCCCATTGTGTGGGAAATCCAGGCAGATGGGACAAGTCACATCTTCCCAATTGATATTTACTTGAATATTGTCAAAGTCAAATGAGCTTGAATGGCTCAGTTTCCTCAAAGAAGTTCCTGAAGAAATGTCAAATTTTACTAAAGTGAGGAATTTTTACGGGGAAGGTGAAGGTTGATTTAACTAGCTATAAAAATGAAGGTTGATGACAAATAATTTTTTATTTCATATCAAAATATAAGCAAAACTAATAAAAGAGTAAAAACTAAAATAAAAATAATCCCAAACAACTACCAAGAGTTTATTTAATTAGGTAGTTATAATCATGTTTCCATCTTTTTTTACAGTTGCTCACAAGTTAGGCTACAATTCACTGCATAAGTTATCTCTTGTTTGTGCACCCAGTATTTTTTTCGATTGTATCTGTTTAACTGAGAAAATAGCATATCCATTTTCACCGGTATTGATTGAATACCTTCTTCTTTCGTCGGTTGTTGTTCACTAGTCATGAAATGTTGAGGAAAAAACGATAAATGGCTTCACTGACTCTGACAAAATTGAATGCTCAAAAAATATGATCGATCCAAAACTTTGAATGGGACAGATTATTGAAATATTTGTATATAATAATAGTATCTGCAAATGACTCTTTGTTGGGCAGAGAAATTTATAAATCCATTTGCTCAGAAAAAGAATCACCACATAAATCCGAGTTTAAGTTGTATCACCATCATCAGCACCATTTGACTAATCAAGGTTATTTTGGATTGGTTTTAAGAACCCTCGTTCTGCATTCATTTTTGTCCGACTGTTGCATGAGCTGTTGAACTACTTTCCCCAACCCATTTTGCAAACTTCTATCCATATCACCCTTGCGATGTAACACTTTAAGAATTAGAGTTTCTAATGCAAATCTAACATGAGATGTGGAAATCATGTAACAAGAATGCAAAATCTGAAAGAAGCAAACTATTAATCTTAAATAATTATTGCTACCATAAATGAAAACAAAAAACTTGTTGGAAACGATTCAAACCAAAAGAATAATGGCCTTCCACAAGAAATTGACAACAAATTCAAAATCAAGAAAGTCAAAAACACGTGTTTGAATTGTTAATGAAAACATATTATATTAAATATGACTAAACCTAATCGTTCGAACCAACAGCAAACAATAAAAGATGAAAGCAAATAAAAAGAAAGGAATTCACCATAGAACAATTCTCATACTTGTAAGAGAACATCGCCCAGAATTAAAATCTCTAAATGACCTAACATTAATTCTATATACAAATCTCATCAGTGTATTTTGCCCCGTATTCATACCCAAGATGCGAATATGAACTAATTAAAAAAAAAAATTAAAATAAATAATTTGTTTCAGTTCCAAATTCAGCACAAAGTAGAGACAAATATGAATTGATTTGGTTGAAATAAATTCCCACCCAAGTTTACAAAAGGCAACAATCACTCATTTTCCTGTAGTCAGAGAAAGGGTGGGCCCTGGAAATTTGGAGATGGTACAAAGTTCGAGAATGCTACAAAAATAATGAAGAAATAATTCAATTCAATTTTCCATTTTCATCGACTTGTTTCCATAATTTGTTAGTTGACTGCGGTGGTTTTACATAAGCAACCATATAATGAAACATTTTCATTTATTTGTAAAGATTAAATTAGCATATTGCCAATTGATCTTCTGTGTTCTATCCAATTTCTTTAGGTACATCAGGTTTAGCTTGATATGATCAAAATTTCTTTAGCATCTCAATCATTCTCAACTGCAAACATATTTTGCTAATGAAATGTACTAGAGAGAATAAAAAATAAAATAAAAATTGGAGGTGTACTGGAGAGAAGATAAACAATGAAGAAGATTCTTCATCCTTATGTTTTATGCTGATCTACAGGCACTAAAGACAGTGGAACTGTAAAAACTATAAAGGATGATATATGTTTCAATAAAGCCGAACTTCATATTCACATCAAGGAATTCACACCTCAAATAAATCCAATCAGATTATTAGGCGAGGTAGTGTATTAACAGACCAATACATTAGTTAATAACAACCAGCCAGAAGAGCGTAGAGCGTGTAATGGTTGCATTCCTTCTGTGTTTAACAGACATCATTCCTGTCTTCTCATTCTTATCAACTCCCAATCAAGAAGAGAAAATGATCATTTTTACTCCAAAAATTCTCAATCATAAGAAAAAAAAAACAACTTTTCCTTAACCTTTTTTTCTTTTTTTCTTTTTTTCTTTTTTTCTTTTTACTCTGATATCCGTTATGCCTCTCCTTTTTTAGGGTTGTTTGTTTGCATGTATTAGCGGTGTAAAGTAAAAAGAATATATGGGTTTTCATTTTTCAGGTGTTTGGTATAAAAAAAGAATATGAAATTTTTTTTCTTAAAAAAAAAATTTGGAATTTTTCTAAAGCCTCAAATTTTGTGTATTCCAAATTCTCTCACATCAGGCAAATTCCACATACATTATTGTGCCAAAACTCCAATCTAATTAGTTGGCACCCTTACTCCAAACCAAAGTAGCCGCCCAAGATCCCACCTCTCGAGCCACCACCATTCTTGCACTCATCCTCACATCAGTCCCCAAACCCACTTTGCTGCAGTTTCAACCCCCGTCAATTATCCAAACCCACTATCCACAAGCCCCCTCCTTGATGTCGCTATCACACTTACATCTACAGTTGTTGCCACAGCCATCCCCAACCACCTCTGTCCGACACCATCTAACCTAACAAACAGGAGCCAAAAATGGGCGTGTGAGGGAGAGAATGAGAGAGAGAGAAAGAGACTTTTACATTCAAAATATATCCTAACAAAAGAAGAAATAATAACTTCATTTATTTAATTTTCATTCAAACAAATCAGTCCTGAAAATCAAACTGCTCTGTATTTCATTTACTTTGTATTTCTCAAATATAGGTACTTTAAGTAAATATAAAAATCCTTAAATCCTACATTTTCTTCCCACAATCGTCAATCAGAGTGCAAGCTTATTTTACACCATCTTATCTTAAATAGATGTTACTCCAACTATCCCACTACTATAATAATGTTCTAATCTAAATTTCACGGTTTTGTGCACAGCAATCTAGCAGTCTCATTAGGCCAAACTCAATCAAATTATCAAATGATTTATTTACTATTCACCGCTCAAAACTTGAATCCATTCAACATTATTGGCTTAATTGAAACTTTATAGAATTTATCATTTCAACATTATTCCCGACGTACTCTTACTTTAACGATTGAATATTAAATCTAAAATTTTTGGAAGCTAAATTCTCACCCATATTCCCATTTGATGTTTATAGTGGATAATCCCATAAAAATTATTAATCATTTTTCGATGAGATTGCCAAGGAATTCAATAAAATATGCATTCACCTTAACAACTTATGTTCAAAATCATTAAAAAATCTGCTTTTCGCGTTCCCATTTCAAATTCTAAAATCACTAAATTTCATATTTACAAACAAACACACCGATCCATTTCCTTCTATAGCACTTTTCCACGTTGTATTTGAATTTTCTCACGATACAAATCTTCAATACTGATATATGTGATTCAATTGAAAAAAAATCTCAATAAATCAACTCTATTCATAAAAGATTTGGGCTTATATAGAGCCTTATAACTTATTTTATAAATAAAACCCTAGACTTCTTCTATATTTCCCATTTACAAATAAGTAACTATATACAATTCTCAATGCTCCCCCTTGAGATTGGCAAAAGATATCCATTAAGCACATCTCGTCACACAACTTAGATAGATCTAATGAATCAAGTCCCTTAGTGAGGGAGTCAGCTGCTTGCTCTCCAGTAGTTACATGACTTATGTCTAGTAGTTCACTATTCAACTTCTCCTTGATGAAGAACTTATAAATCTCCACATGCTTGGTTTTGTCATGTTGCATCAGGTTGTTAGCAATGTTGATTGTTGAGTTGGTTTCGCACCATAACTTCATTTGCGCTCCATGGTCCACCTTGAGCTTTACCAATAGACATCTCAAACATAACATTTCGGCAACTCCCAAGGCCATGGCGTTATAATTTGTCTCCGTCTTCGACCTCGCAACTATTGACTGTTTCATGCTCTTTCAAGAGACTAATTGCCCCCTACGAATATGTAGTATCCTGATGTGGACCTCATATCATCAACACCGCTAGCTCAATCAAAATCACAGTAGCACTCAATGCCTAAATGCCCATTATTCCTAAAAATCAATCTCTTCCTTGGTGCACTCCTCAGGTACCTCAAAATCTGATACACTGCATCCAAGTGGCCCTTCCTCGGATCATGTATGTAGCGACTCACCATGCTTACTGCAAATGATATGTCAGGATGAGTGACTATGATAGATGAGATAACCTACCAACCTATGATAACTCTCGCGATCAGCTGGCTCTCTTGCCTTTGCGCTCAACGTTCGTTTCTGAGCAATTGGTGAACTTGCATGCTTGCATCCCATCATGTATGTCTCTATGAGAAAGTGTAGCACCAACTTCCATTGAAATAGAACACTCCCCTCTACTCCATGAGTCACCTCAATCCCAATGAAGTATCTAAGATGACTCAGGTCCTCACCTCAAACTCTTTGCCCATACTTACCTTCAATTGTGCAATCTCTACCTCATCATCACCGGTGACAATCATATCATTAACATACAAAGAAAGGATAGTAATGTGACCATCATGTCGTCGAAAGACCATTGTGTGGTCAGTATTGATCTGTCGATAGCCCATATTTACTATTGATCGCATGAACTTGTCAAACCAAGCTAGAAAACTGTTTTGAACAGTACAGTGATTTTCTTAGTCTACACACCTTATCCATTGTTTGGTTTATGTCAAAGTCTGGGGGTATCTTCATGGACACCTCTAGCAGATCCCCATGAAAAAATGCATTCTTCACATCCAGTTGATGTAACACTCATCCACCATTCACAGTAGAGAGATGAGTTTGATTGTGCTCATCTTTTCCACTAGTACAAATGTCTCATTATAGTCGATATCTTACGTCTGGATATACCCTTTTGCCATTAATCATGCTTTGTAGTGATCAATCTTTCCTTATAGGGACTGCTTCACTGTGAAGATCCATTTGCGCCAACCGACCTTTTCTTTGTTGGAAGCAATGTGAGCTCCCACGTCTTGTTCTTATCGAGAGAGCCAAGTTCCTCCAAAATGACAACCATTCCACTTTGAATCCTCTTTAGCCTGTCAACACTTAGGTATAGAGACGGTGGTCAAAGATGCAATGATTGTTTTGTATACAGATGATATGTTAGAGTATGAGATAAACTAAACAATTTCATGTGAGAAACCAAAACGCTCAGAAGAATGAACCACATTGTTACGAGAGGTCCTCCTCAAATTCATGAGAGTGGGAGAGGAATCACATCACCTGTGTAATCAAATGTAGAGGTAGACGGTATAGGTGCTTCAGGACTCGGGAGTCGGGATAGACCGGGACAAGGGACTTGTTGGCACGAGTGGCATGGTAGGCACTGTTCTCTCATTTTGCATTGTCCTCCTTGTATACACCCTTTGCTCCCTTTGAGTTTGAATCCCACCACCTTCAGGCTCATTTTCTCAGGGATCGGCTCTTCCTCATTCGATCCTTCCCACACAATGAGACAAGGCATCGTTCCCACAAGTAACAATCTCTCTGCATCACTACTCTCCCCCTCTCGCCTCATACCTCCATTATTTGACGAGTCATCGAAGGGTGTGACCAAGGTGTAGTAAGGTTTGAATTCTCTAAAATTCACATTCATACTCACATACGATCCCTCTCTATTGGACTCCAAAAAACATAACCCTTCTAAGTTAATGAATTGTTTTCAATGACATCACCTATTGCTTTATTTCCTCTTCAACATCTCCAGGAACTCGTGATCTTCATTGTAAAGATCACCCCTATCTTTCCTTCATATCCACTACCATCAGATTTGACCAGTAGCCTCCTTTTCCACCCTTTTGGCCCCCACGATAACGACAACGGCCTCTAGATTGTCCACGTCCACCCGTCTCTCTTTTCTTGGGTGGCTTTAGACAAGCCTTGCGCAAGTGCCCCACCTCTCCACAGTTGTAGCACCCGCGGGTCTCCTAAGCACCTGTCATACCTTCACTTGAGGCGTCTAAAGTTGATCGCATACTTGAAAGTCCACTCGACTCAAAGTGTAGCGTCATGTGACTCTCCTCCAGTGTCATCACAACGATGGCCTCATCAAGTGAAGAAATCGTTGCCTGGGCTAAAATGACCAATTTCCTCTACTCAAAGGTTGGGTTCAGATTAGCCAGAAATAGCATAGTCTTCATTTGTGCAAAGGTCTCCCCTTTCTTGCACCCAAAATCACCACAGCTCGACATAGATGAGAAGTAATCAAGATCTTGCCACAGCCACCCTAGCTCCATGGAGTACTCCTGAATCGATCTATCACCATATATCATTGTCTCTATGTCACGTTGAATCTGGAACACTCTCATGTGGTTCTCAGTCCTGGCATATGTCATCTTCAGCTTTGCTCAGATGTCTTTTATCTTTCGAATGTTATCTACCGATGAGGCAATCAATGGAAACATTGAGTTGAGAATCCAGAAGTAATGTAAGGCGTGTGTGGTCCTCCACTCATCCCCTTGAGCATTGTCACTCTTTGGCTCAATCTTAACTCCCATTAAATATCTCTCTAGTCTTTTTTTCCAGCTAGAGCAGCCTCGATAAGTCGCGAACAACTCAGATACGTGGCTTGTCTATTAAGCTTCAAACCCACAGGAGGAAGTTCTAGTTTCACTTAAGTATGAGCACCTGCTGAGGTAGTGTCTCCCGTCGAGACGCTAGCTCCATGTATGAGCGTGATTAAGACGTTCAAAACTTCTGGATCTATATATCCCAGAAGTTCCAACCCTTTACCTCTCGCACTATCTTCGTCTCCTAACATCCTCAATTTAATTCTTCTTTGATTTGTATGCCCAATTCGAAGCCCTTGCAAGTTCTTGTTCCACGTGAAGCCCCCATGTTATGTCCCTTGCACAACAAAAAGAAGCCAAAACTTTGTCCAATTTCCCGGCGCGACCCGAAAACTGAAGGCATTGCCCTCTCCCAGTTCCGACACATGCAGAAGTTTGCACTTCACCTTTATTGCGTAGCAAACAAAGGGATCGTTGTGTACGAAGATCTTCAAAAATCCCCATTTCTTCTCTTCCCTACGTGCCAAAACAAGAACCGCAAAAACGCAACCCTCTCTCCTCTTCGTTTGCGCGGCAACAACGGCAAATACAGGATCGCAGCACAATGAAAAATTTGAAACTCCCTTATTCCACTCTACGTTCAGGAAATCCAATGATGGGATTGATGCGCTCATTAGAAGGCAATGACAGGATCGCTGCTTTTGTTGAAAGGCAATGATAGGATAGTTGCTTTTGCTGCAAAGCAACGTCAAGGTCGCACAACAAAAAGACCTCCAGAAGCAACTCCCACCTCCCTGTGTGCGAAGAAGAAGCCTGCCGTTCTTCCCTTCACAGTAGCCCTAGAGCTGTGATACCAAATTGAAATAATTGCTCAAAAAATCTACTATATTCATAAAAGATTTGGGCTTATATAGAGCCTTACAACTTGCTTTACAAATAAAACCCTAGACACATATATTTCCTATTTACAAATAGGAGCCTAAACTATATACAATTCTCAACAGATTCAATTAGCTTTCGTCTCTTAATATGAACTCATAAACCTTGAAGTTCATCAAAATTGATATCTATAGACAAGAAACATAAATACAAGTCCCTAAACATACATAACACACATAAAAATTTAACTAAGCTTGCAAAGATAGTCCAAGGAAAAGGTAGAGTTCAAAGGAAATAAAAACAATCATAACACATGAAAAATGAATATTGATGTCTTCTGAAAATTTTAAAATTGACTTCTACTGAAAAAAAAAACAGTCCTCAGTAGCTCATGAATTTTTAAAATTGATGTCCAAAATGTTCTAAATAAAGAACAATATGATACAAAGTCATGCAGCTTCATTATTTTGCTGCCATGAATGTCATAACATTCACAGAAGCACTGTGCCGAAGCATGCAAAGCTCTATCGCATCTTCAAACAATATTATAAGCTGAAGAAAAAGAAAAAAACGCCAAAACAATATTTCCATCCTGCAATCAATAACTAGGCCAGTGCACCAAGATTATCTATATGCCAAATTCAAGCAGAGTAATGCATATGAAGTTACTTAAAAGCATCAAGGCCAACATGGCCAAAACAAAACTAATTATAATGAACAAACCTGCAGTATAAGCAACATTTCGTCAGCAATCAATGAAATTTACTTGTCCAACAAAAGCGAGTCCAGTCAGGGAGAGAAAACAACATAGATATTCTAGACATTTCAATACTAAAGGTATTTTTATCTTATTAAGGTGTTTTTTTTTGTCCTTAATTAAGGTCCCTCATATATCCATTTCACAAAATGGAGATAAAAAAGCCCGCACGCACACTGAACATGCCACCTTACATATGCATAAAAAGGTGTATTTCCCTTCTTAAAAATTAAAATGTTGGTTATTTTTCATGTGATATTAAAGATTTAAGCAGCATGGATGTAAAATTAAAGTTTAGGTTATACATGTTTAAATAAATAGGAATTGGATGGCTTGCATGTAAAAGCACAAGTACGTCCTTGAAACTTAGAGCTCTCATGGCTAAATGTTCGTTACATGAACCTTTCTTATACTTACCTTTTTCTTCCAAACCAAACAACAAAAAACAAGCAGAAGGGCCCCAAATATCATGAGTTCAACATAAATAAACACCCGCTTAACAAATTAAACTAAATTCATCAACTGGTAGAATTTAGTTCCATCCAGAAGTATTTTCCATACCAATCTTTATAGCATCACTTCACAGGGAATAAGCAAAAATAAGCTAAATCAATACAAAAGAAGCAAAACAATTTAAGTTCCAGCAACAAAAACAACAACAACTACTAAGTCAAAATTTCCCATAAGGCATAAACAAAATCAATCCAACCCATTCAAAACAGATAAATCAAACCCCAGCTCACTGAAAAAACAACAATCAAATCCAACAATCACGGCACAACTTAATCCCAAAACAAACCCTCCAAACATCCATCGAAACCCCGCTCAAATTCCAGCACAGTACCAAAACAAGCCCTCAGATCGTGTAAACAACGGCGGAATAGCAGGAACCACAAGAACAATTCAAGCAAACGCAATCATCTATAAAAAAAACGAACCGTCCTGCTCCTTCCGAATCTTCCCCGTCGCCAAGCAGATTTGTGCCACCATATTGCGAGCACCGACGAGGAGTCAGAGAGAGTTTTCTAACCCTAGATCTCTCTCAAGTCTCAAGAGTGCGTGGAAAGGAACGGGTAAACGGAAGAAGAGAGATAGAGAGATACGGACGGGGAACCAAGAGGCCGAGACCGAATTCGTATTAGAAGGTTGCAACAATTCTCCTCCATTAAAGTTGCTGACCTCGTAATTTGGCACGTGGACTGCACGTCTTCTGGGGACTAATATGATTCAGAAGAGATGCTGCATTACAGATTTTTTATTTTATTTAATCAAATTTTTATAAGATGATTTTTTCATTTTTTATTTTATAAAGTTCAAATTCAAAATTTTGACATTAACTGTCAAAATCGTTTAACAACCAAATTAATTAGAGGCATTTGCATACATACCACTCCATTTCTATATATTTACGTGTGTGTGATATCTAATCTCTATTTTTTTTTATATTTATACCATTCAAAGGATGATAATCTTATATCACTTTTTGAGTTGAGAATTTTCTAAATTATCTTAAATTTGTAATGTCAGTTGAGGGTTTAGGGTTGGAAAGGATAAAACCCCCATTCATTCTAGGTAAAATAGTAAAATATTAAGTGCTACATAATTTATGCTTATTATTACTATGACAAAATGTTAGACATTGCACTGACAATTTCTTCTTGGAAGATCTATATACATGCCACTAAATTCTTATGTGTTTACATATCTATGACTCGAACCTCAATTATTATGTACATGAGAAAATATGTACATATATTCTCATGTTAAATGATTTTAGAAGCATCACTCTTTAGAAAAAAAGACTGATACATTCAGAATTTTGAACTAAGAAAGAAAAAGTCTTACTTGTTAATAATTTTTTTTGTCGTAACTACAAAACATAATGACAATTGATGAGTAAAATAGATACAGTATGCTTGAGGATTATCATTATGAAATAACTACTTTCAACCCATTAATCTTCATCCTCATCATCATCATGCTTCTCCTCATCCTCCTCGAATGAACGCTTGTGTCGCTTGCTCTGGCGATAAAAACTCTCTGTCATGAGCACTAGACTATCTGCAACGAATTGCTAGCCTTTGCGCATCTATTGGAGCTCTTCATTGATTATCATCACACGCCTGACAAGCTTTTCATGTTGAGACTGTAAGGAGCTAGGGCCACCTACTGCTCCTCGGGAATGCTCAGCCTCAAATACCATTCACATTGCTGCAAGGCCATACACTCTCCCCTTCTTCTTCCTCGTCGTATGCGTCCACAACTCAAAATTGGATTGTGCAGTGGTAGACTGGGTTTCACTGCTGACGGACGGTGAGGTCTAGCTGATCTCTGTCTCTCCCGGAGCTGCTCGCACTCCTCTTTCATAACAAAATTCAAATATTAATTCACATTTTAAACATTATTTGACATATTAATAGAATTAAATTTTTTAAGCTTACATTGACATGACAAGAGTGGTCGGATACCCACTGTTGTGTGCCCCCGCATTGATGTATAAGGATGTAAAATTTTGTGGTGGATGTCTCTTTGTCAAGCTCCTTGGCACGTATACATGATTAGATAAATATATGAGTAACATAATTACATAAATGTGTAAGCCTTTGAATTTTGACATAATCATACAAGTCTTAGATAGTGCTCAATGAGGGGGATCGAACCTCCAATGTGGAGTACGGCCCCTTCGACTCCCTCCATCATTTGGTTTAACTAATTTGTCTGTCTCTTCCTCTGGTACTTCAGAGAGGCTCATGCTCGGTTTAACTCAGCCCAAACTTCCTCCCCAACCCACGAGGGCCTCTGCCCTTACGCACCACTGCGAACATACGCCTGAGCCTATGTCTGACACGAACCTCAAAAATTTATCGAATCTGCTAGTGATGGCATGGCAACTAGTAAAACGATCTCCACAAATAAGAAAGTATGTAAGCTTGATTAGCATATAAAAAAGGTAGAAATTTACTTTTTATTTCAAATTTAAATATCATACATCAAATTACCTAAAATACATATCACGAATGACAATCAGTATCTGCTTCTATGAGAGATATAATTGATTTTATATGTTTTGGATGATCTTTGTGATCTGCACCATGGGTGGTCTGGAGGGGTAGAACTTGCAAATGATCCATTAAGTACATTATAAAATGGAATGAAAATTGAAATTATTATGTTGTAAAAAAGAAAGTTGATTTACAAGTCACCCTTCGACTCAATATAGATCATGTCGGCGCTGTCAGCCATGTTAGGTGCTGGAGTTGAGGGGTCTGGCTCATCGATTGAGGATGATGGGTTGTAATAAGATGAAGTGTGAGGTGGTGTCGGCGAGAGACCTAGTGCGGGAGCAAGGGCAACATAATGAGTCACTGGAGTAGTTGTACGAGTAATGGCGGGCTTCTTTAGCCTCTGATACATGTTCCCCAGAGTCCCCTGAATGCAAGGTCTCCTGGGAAGCTGAGAACCTTTCATCTGCAATAGGAAAAGAATTTTAGAATTAAGAAGCATGATTAGTATGTAATATAAGAAAGAAAAATAAAAATAGAAAAGTAAATACATAAAAGTAAAAGCAGAAAAGTGAAACATATTGTGTTTGCGCATAAAATCAAGAAAATTAAGCAAAACTACAGTGTAAGAAGCGAAAGTAAAATAAAAAAGGTGCATGAGCTAATCATCTAAGTATACATATCATTTTTCAGTCTGTTTCATTTGATGATCAAGTTGTTGAAGCAATTAAAATTTCGTCATCGATCTCATCATCATTTGCATCCATATCTAGAGGTACTTATTCATGAATCCCTGTAGTATCCTCTAGGGGTAACTTCTCATTAATTGAGTTAAGTTGAATATGAAAATCAGACACAATTAACTCTTGGTGAACATGCTTGATAATTTTCTGCATCTCAACAATTTTTCGTGGTTTATATTTCAATACAACAACTCAATCAAGTTTATCCCTTGCTTGTCTATGATATCGAAGATAATAATAAAGTTGACGAGCCTGACGTGCCATAATAAATGGGTCATATTCTGCATATCTTCTGTTCATCCTAACTTTGATAATATCATACAGGTTGACTGTTCAAGCTCCTTATTAGGAATGGGATCAAACCACTCATAAATTAACATGTAGACATTACGTTTGACATAGTTTGGATATTGCAACTAAACTACTTTATTCAATATGTCATAATAGCTTATCTCATTATTTCTTTTGTGTGTCCTCTAACACAAACACCATACTTATAAGTTAGTTTTCTTTCACACCAGGAAATCTTGTGAAAATTGTAACCATTAACTTTAAATATTTTCCATGTCTTCAAGGTATGATTAGGCCCCCAAACAAGATCTAAGCCTTGGTCTGTGGTTTGTTGCTTGTATTATGGACCAAGTATAAGTTTCAAAACATAATTAGTTTACATTTGTAGAGTAAAATTACACAACATCCAGGTGAATTTAAAAGTTACCTCAATGTACGTGTAATTTGAACAATTTTGGAAACTCTTCTTCAATTTTTTTTACTTACAAGAGAGTCAGCCTCTATGTTCAAACTCTCTGTAAATAACTGATACACCTAAAATATATACTGCTTTTAGACACGTTTTTATACCTATTTTTGAGATATTGCGCTTTAATGAAAGATATTTGTGTGTTTTTTTTCAGGTACAAGTAAAAAGGTGAAAAATGCTAAAATGAGTAAAAAAAAGGATTAAATTTGTAGCAAAATGCAAAAATGGTGCAAAAGTGTTGCAAAAATGGTGCAAAAGTGTTTATGGTGCAAAAGTGTTTTTGCGCCTAAGCGTCAGAGGCCCCGCGCTTAAGCGCCAGAGGCAGTTATTTGATGGGTTAATTCATTTTGCCAAATTTTGAAGGGACATTTGAGACATTTTTTGACTAAAGATGGTGGTTATGACCACTAAAAACAAAAATGTGGTTAAAATACTTGTGAAATGAGACATCCCTTGGAAAATACATCGAATCTGGACATATTTTGAAGAGATACCAAGATACCTCTTGAAAAATTATAAAAGAAGGATGTTGAGAGAAAATAGAGGAGAGTCCTAAGAAGTTCTTGAAATAGTTCGTAGAGGAACTTTTAGAGAGATTTTTCAGGCACCACAAATTTATTTTTCTGTTTTGTTTTTTAGTTTTATTGTGAGAGTTAAGAGTGTTGTAAGAGAAAAGAGATTCAAAGGAACTTCAAGAGTTTGGTAGAGGATTTGAGATAAGTTTTTATTTTTGTTTTTAAACTACTTTTCGTTTTAATCGTCGCTTATAAAATAATTGAAATACGCAGTGTAACCCTCGTCCAAATGGGGGCAAATTGCATATTGTGCTAAATTCCCTACAAATAGAGGAAGCATTTATTTGGGAAGGTACTCATTTTTTTTACAAACCATTTGAGAGAACATAGCTCCAATAATTAAATTATCTCTCCCTCTATCTCCCCTTTGGTATTCAACAATGCTATATATATAATTCAACCTAAAATTTATGAGTACTTTTTAACTCTCTTTTTTATAAAACAATACATAACTAATCATCGACACCTCAAAATAAATATAATAAAAAAAATTCATATCAATTAAAATTAAGCCGCAACATCTGACCGAAATTTTCTTTCATCGATTCTACATGGCAACCATTTTCGACCAGAAAAATTATAATGAATGCCATATGCTTTTAATTGTTCTTGACCTCTCAAAAAAAGTTGGTTATTGGATTAAACCTGTGGCGGCCAACAAACCCAAGTGATTAGAGATTCATCAATATTACGCAATCCATTAAGCTGAGAAATCGAAATAAATAAATATTACTAAAAAATTAGAAGAATTTCTTAATTCATAGCCAACAAAATGCTTTCAATTAATGGGCGATGGATTGTCTGCAAATGCAGTATTTATTAGGCTAAATATCATCCTCTTTATAATATATAAATACATTGCCGCGAATTAAGCAAGGAACAATTTCACATAATTAATTAATAAAATAAAAATTGCGACGTAGTGGAAGAAGTTACGTCGAGAGCTGTATCATGCGTGCATGCTGATGTAAATATGTTTTTAATAACTAGGGCAGAATCATCATTGTACGCACTTTTTTAATATAATTGTTTTTATATATCATCCTTCATCTAATCTTACCAAAAAATTAATAGATTGAAAAGCTTAAAATTATTATTTGATTTATTT